GGTCGCTCAACTCATACACCCTCATTGACGGGCCTAGTAAGCACATGAATTTCCAAATTAAGAACATGTTAGCATGTTCTACAACAAGGTCATGATTTCAGGATTTTGCTTGTTGTCATCGTCTCATAAAAAAGTTGTGCGATGGATCATGCATCACACGGTCATCATCTACGTCAAACTATCCAATCCTAAAACCAACTATTCTGCTAGGTTGGATATTTTGAAACCACACTTCATACCAACATCGATCACGCCCAAAAGTTGAGGCTACCACCAAGTTGATCCCGTTTTCCTAATTTATTTGTTATTCAATATTTCCATTCCAAGCCATGGCACATTATCCATCTACTTTTCTTTGTAGGAACGCAACCTCACTCCTTAGGAACCCACGTATTGTAGAAGGAGCACATAACTCTGTAGGGCACTAATAACCCACAAGTATAAGGGATCAATTGTAGCCTTTCTTGATAAGTAAGAGTGTTGAACCCAACGAGGAGCTAAAGGTAGAATTTATATTCTCTCAAGTTCTATCGACCACCGATGCAACTCTACACGCACTTAACGTTCACTTTACCTAGAACAAGTATGAAACTAGAAGTACTTTGTAGGTGTGATGTGATAGGTTTGTAGGGTAATAAAGAACACGTAAATAAAAGCTAGGGGCTAATTAGATAAAGAAACAATTAAGTTAGTTCTAGTAGAGAGGTTTTCATCACGAGAAAGTTATTTGTCCCTAGGCAATCGATAACTAGACCGGTAATCATTATTGCAATTTTATATGAGGGAGAGGCATGAGCTAACATACTTTCTCTACTTGGATCATATGCACTTATGATTGGAACTCTAGCAAGCATCCGCAACTACCAAAGATCATTAAGGTAAAACCCAACCACAACATTAAGTATCAAGTCCTCTTTACCCCCATACACAACAACCCCCTTACTCGTGTATAAGTTTTTGTCACTCTCTTCACCCACCATAAGTGAATCATGAACGTATTACAACACTCTAAAGCAGGAATCCCTCATGCTTGCATGACACGGAGAGCAATAAAATAAAACATACAACTCAAACCTATCATGATCATCAATCAACCCATAGGACAAAACGGATCTACTAAAACATCATAGGATGGCAACACATTATTGGATAATAATATGTAGCATTAAGCACCATGTTTAAGTAGAGATTGCAATGGGAAGCAGAGGTATTACATTGCTGCATATAGGCAGAGAAAGTTTGTGTTGACGGTAGCGAGGTTGTTGGTGTAGATCGTCGTGATGATCCTTGCCCTGGCGGCACTCCGGCACCACCGGGAGATAGGGGGAGAGAGCCCCCTATTTCTTCTTCTTCCTTGACCTCCCGCTAGATGGGAAGAGGGTTTCCCCTTTGGTCCATGGCATCCATGGTGGCTTCTGGCCTTTCACCATTTCTTAAATTCCCGGAAATCTGTAACTCTGATTGGGATGAAATTTTGAGGGGATTTTCTTTCAGATATTCTCTTTATTGCGGCCAAAGATAACCCCCAACCAACTTACAAGGTGGCCACAAGCCCTAGGGGCGCGCCTACCCCCCCCCCCGCGGGCACGCCCTATGAGATTATGGGGCTTGTGGACCACCTCTCACGCTGATTCTTCTTCCCAAAAATCACATATATTCCAAAAAAATTCCATAAATTTTTATCGTGTTTGGACTTTGTTTGATATGGATATTCTGTGAAATAAAAACATGTAACAAACATGAACTGGAACTGGGCACTGGAACAATATGTTAGTCCCAAAAAATGATATAAAAAGTTGCCAAAAGTATATGAAAATTATAGAATATTAGCTTGAAACAATCAAAATTATGGAGAAGATGGAGACGTATCAGGCACCCAATTTAACTCCAAAGTGTGTGAGCCTAGCCGGCCTTACAAGGAAACATACTTGGATTCCCTATTTGCTATGTCCTTATGGCCGACGGAACTAGACATGTGTTGAAAACTATGAAGATGACCTCGTACACTTCCGTGGACTTATTTCATTGAAAGTTGTATGGTTGCAAGGTCCAGAGGTGGATAAAACATGCGTCAAACAAACCATAAGACTAAAAATATTCCATATTAGCTTTCCGAGTAGCTAAAATTCGATGCCATGTTTGTTTGATTTAGTTATTAATTCTGTTTTCTAACTCTAATGAGTGCACATAGTGGAAAATGAAAAAAACATCATCTGTTCGTTAAAAGAAAGATGTGATACCAAGAGGCCCCTCACTATGCTTCCTCGGCCGTCTGTTCGCCTAGATGAAGCGCCAAGACCCCTCACACGTCCTTAACTCAGGAGCGCCTTTTTCAATGTTGCATGAGTGGTTGGGACACGACCCTCTCCAACTCCCATCTCATTGTTTTATGGGACACAGATGCATGTTGGCGGAAAAACCTCACATTGGTTGCAGCTCATAGGTCAAACCACTTGAGAAAGCCTATCCTCGTTAGAAATGAAGGTGGAGTTAAGTCTCCAAATGTGTCATGTTGCTTCCCTGAAATGATGTTCTTGGAGAAAACTAAGTTTCTAGAGGTGTGCCAACCACACATTCTATTCTACCTCCATAGCCTATATGTGAACTTATTAATTCCTTGTGCACTCGAGCCCGCTGTGATCGATTATTATGTACAAATTTGAGCAAACTGTGTGTCTACGGTTTAAATCATCTCTTGATTATTATTTGTGTAGGATTTGGTATCATTTTTTGACATGTATTCTAGAAGGAAAGGAGCAATCAAAATCATAAATGAAGCAAGTGGCACAATTCGACCATTGAGGTACATATGCATACTTTTTACTAGCCCAAAAGTAAGAAGGCATTTTGTATATCAAACTAATTGTTCCAAGAAATGACATCTTCGCATAGTACCACAGCTGAAAGTTCATGACTTACTAATTTACTAACCTAAGATCCTGAAAAATTGTAATACGAACATAACCAGGATGACACTTCTTCTCGGAGCGCCCGGTTCTGGGAAAACAACATTTTTGAAGGCATTGGCAGGAAAGTTGGATTCATCTCTAAAGGTAGGTTGGGTTATGTACGTACCACAAAAAATACCGACATACAAGGTCTAATGGAAATTGCATTTTTCTTGATGTAAAATATCTTACTAGCGGAAAGGAAAGATCACATACAACGAAAAAGAAGTGAATTCCTCAACACCTCAACACATGCATGCTTACATTAGCCAGTATGATCTTCACCATGCCGAGATGACTGTCAGAGAGACAATTGATTTCTCGTCCAATATGTTGGGAACCATTAATGAATTTGGTAAGTCATTGTCCTAAGTATGGTGTGCTATTCATATTATAGATCTTACATATAGCTCTAAACTATGTGCTTATGAATGAGATTAATTTTGTAACAAAATGCATAAACTTGAACTCAAAAAAGTTCCCATGTAGATGGTAAAGGTATCCTTTATTTTTCATGTACATGAATAGTAATCAATACGATTACTGTATTTGATAAACATAGAGATGATGGAACAATCGGTAAGAAGAAAGCAAGGTGACATCAATGAAGTGGAACAAAATCTTGACTCCTTCATTAAGGTGATTACTTCAATTTTCTCAATCTTTATAA